CATTTGTAAGCCACTGTAAATTACATTTTTGAGTTACATGTTTCATCTGTGGATTGAAGATGGAGAAAAAGCCCTGTGCTGACTAGATTTTAAAGTCCATTTCTTTTGGTCATTTTTTTATTTTGTCCATAAAAATGTGCCTACTTAATCTCGTCTCCATACAGGCCTGCCCGCTTTTTTTTAAGTGTCACAGATCCTTCAAACACAATTTCACCCTCAAAGCACGTCTTTACAGTGTGGGAATTTTCCATCACAGCAAGGTCATGTCCTCAGAAAGATGCAGTTTCAGTTGTTTAAGAAGACTTTGAGTCATTCAGCAGCTCTTCATCGTTTCTCCTGTCATTCTTCCTCTTCTAATCCCCAATCATCCCCGCCTTCTCCTCTATATTTGGTCTCTTTAATCCCCCCATCGGCTCCCTCTCACTCGTGCCATTTCTATTTTCTCACACATCTCTAGGTCTTCTTTTCTTCTGTCTCCATGCGCAATCGTTTGTCCTCTGGGAGACAAAAGAATATTCTTTTCCTTCCTTTCTCTTCCATGTCTTCCTCTCCTCCCTCCCTCCTCGGCATCTCACACATCAGTGGCGTTGAGGCGTGTAGACACCACATCCTGCGTTTCAAGGACTATCTTCTTCGCCCTTCTGCCTCCCCCTCCTCCCCCTCCCCCAGCGGGGTGAATGCTGTCCAGTCGGCCGCCCCTTTCCCTCTCGCCGCCGCTGCGACATTTAAAGACAGCGAGAAAGGCAGCGCGGTAGTTGCGGTTCATCCAGCCGTAAAGTAGCGGGTTTGCAAAGGTGGAGCACATGGCAATCACGTGGAAGACGGTGTAGAGCAGGCGGAAGTCCCGCATGTCCAGCACCGCGCTGTCAATATCGGTGGCCAGCTGGAAGGCGTGGAAGGGAAGCCAGCTCACGGCAAACACCACCACCATGGTCACTAGCATCTTGGTGGTTTTGCGGCGCCGGCGGTGGCGTTCGGAGGCGACGCTGCTGTTGACACCACTCTCTGCTGGACTGACATGACCACGCAATTTGGACCAGATGCGGGCGTAGGCAAAGGAGATGATGGACAGGGGGAGGAAATACTGCAGGATAAGCATGGAGATGCTGTAGATGGTGCCATCTGTGTTTGTCCCGGGCCATTTCTCCATACACGCCTATGACAGAGGACAGAATGGGATGTTTGGTTGAGTTTAGTCTGTGTTACATTTTAGCCACATGGTTAAAAAGGCAAATCTCCAGAAACTAGAAGATGTTACACTAAAGATGAAGTCTCATTTTGCCATTACAGTTTTTCTGCGCCACGTTTTTTTTTTCTTTTCCCTTTGGGTATTCCCAATAGATGAGAAGTCCATACAAAATGGCAAGTCAATGTTTGCTCCAATCCAAAGGTAATCAAGATTATGCGATATATGATCAAAAGCTTTAGAAAAGTTACTAAAAAAAAAGGATTTTTCCATTGGATTCTTTTGGCGACTAGATCAGAATTTTGACATAGTTTACATTTGATTGCAGTGACTGGAGAGGCTGGGATTATGAACAACAGGAATAAGGAGGGAAACAAGAGTTTGGAGAGGAACGGATGTAAGGAAAGAAGGAAAGAAGGATGAGATGAAAGAGGAGGCAACGTGAGGGATGTGAGCAGCACCAGGAAGATCAAAGGGAAAGAATGAGGAAGGAAGTGAGGGGACCGATCTGTACAAATATTTGATTCAGAAACATGGTGTTGTAGGTGTGTGACTGCATATACCTGTATGGTATGTCCGGGCTCCAGTGTGAAAGAGCCGTACTCTCTGAAGATGGCAAGAGGGCTAGCCAGGATGGCACTCAGCACCCATGTCAATGCTATCACTGTAAAACACACGTCCTTACGCATCCTGGTCTCCAGGTGGTACACGATACACCTGAAATGCAAATTGGTGCATACCAAATATTTATATAAACTT